GGGTTCTGCACACAGGGGAAGGCGTGGCCATCTGCACCATTTCATGACATTTTCCAACAAGGACTTCGGTGCTTAGAGACAGAGCCTTCTGAATATTTCATTTTGACTCTTGTTATTGTGCCGTGAGTGACATACACCATGATACACTTTCCAGAAAAGACTTTCTGCACAGAGTCACGGAAATGTGTTATCGCCGATAATGTCAACAGAGGGAAGTCCTGGCACATTTTTAGCATCTCAATTTTGAATCTTTGTTAGCTACAATTTACCGAAGCCATTGGGGCCACGGAGATGAGTTACTCTGTCTAGGCTCCAGCTAGGCTTGAGGGCATTGATCACACAGGCCCTGCTTGCAGGACTGTCCTGTGCTCATCCTAATTCATCTTATTTGCCCTCCGAGAGCCCAAGCGTCACCCAGCTGTGGAATGTGGCCACACTGCTGGGAGCACAGACCCTCCCCTGCTCCGTGGTGGCTCCAGCCCATCGTCACAGAGGAGTGTCTGTGTCCCCCCTCTCTCCCTCCTTGAGCCAACCCTACCAGGTACCCCTCAGGGCCTAGTGTGCGGTGGGTGGCAGCACTGGGAGCACATGGATGGCCCTAAGGAGCCCGAGGTTGTGGGGTGGCATATAAGAGAACACAGTGCGGGGGGGGGGGGATGGGAAGTAGGTTGGGTGTGTCCAGGGCAGTGGGCACATGCCAGAGAAGATCAAGCCTAGCCTGGGCTCAGGGGGTTCCCGGGGTGATTTCTGAATTGAGAATCACAGCCGAGTGGCTATAGCACACTCGGCTGAGCAAAGCTGGGAGAGGGGCAGAGGCAGCACAGCTCAGGAGCAGAGGATGCAGCTGCTCCCCAGAGACCAAGCCCGGCCGGGCCTGGGCCTTCCTCCCTGCGCTTGGCCCCTGCTGTGCACTGCAGCCCCTCCAGGAGGTGAGCGGTTTGCCATTTCTCCATAGGCCCCTTGATGAGCCATTGGCCTTCTGAAGACTTGATTCCAGTCATAGAGACAGACAGACAGACAGACAGACAGACAGGGATGGCATTTCAACAAATAGTTAGATCACTGTAATTATTCACTGAAAGCCCATTTGTGCTTGTTGCGATCCAAGTTGTTGGGCAATTTTTTAAACTATAGAATAATGTTAGCCGCCCCGCCCCCACCACCACCACCCTGTTTGGTGACATTACTGGAAGAAAGGGGGACCTATTCCACCCTAGAGAGCATCAACCCAGACGCTAGTGGCCCTGTGGCTGCAAACCAAGGGGGTACTGCACAGCCAGCCGCTGGCCCTTTCCTGGTCACTGTCATTCGGCTAAATGAGCGTCCCTGTAATGTTAAAGGACCAAGAAAGCTATTAGTGAGGAGGCCGCGCGGAGGATGGCACCTCATTCGCTCACCTGAGGTCCGCCATTATCTCAGCAGCTGGGAAATGCAGTGGAGGTCCCGCCCTTTAGCCGCCTTAATTAGTTTGCTTTCTACCTCCTTAGCAAAGCAATAAGATGGGGAAAGGGGAGACAACAGGCGGGGGAGAGTCGTGTAAGTCTGAGTTTTATTTTATAATTTAGCGACGCCGCAGGTGTGAGTGCTGCTGGCAGATAAGGCTTTCAGGTCACTGAAGGGCCTCCTCCCCTCCTGCTCAGGACCCCGGCCAGCGTTATCTTGTGCTAACAGCTGTCCAGAGGAGCCCCGGAGTCCAGAATGGGCCAAGGCCTGGGTGGCAAGCGCTCTGTGAGTGTTTCTGGCTTCCACCATTGTCTGCAGGCAGGGCAGAGATGCATAACCAGGGAGGATAATACGGGAATGGATCCCGCCATTATTAAGCAGCCCCAGCTGTGACCTGCTCTGAGCCTGGAGAACACAAACAGAAGCCTTAGCCGGCTTAGCTCCTGAGGGAGGCCCGGCTGAGTAGACGTCTCAGACCCAGGGGTTCTGGTGGCTGCCCTCCCTCTTTAAACTGGAATGCTCATGAATACAACGTAGGGCAGAGGACCTGGGGCAGGGAACCCCTGAGTTCCAGCAGAGCCCTCGGTAATGCAGATGCCCGGGGCCTGCTACCTTCCCCTGGAGACAAGCACGGGAAGGAGTCGACGTTCTGGAGGTCTGGGTCAGCTTCTTGCCTTAGAGTGTTCTTCCCTTCAAGGGTGAAATCCCAATCCTAAACAACCTTCCAAATTAATTCTCAAGTGCTGAAGAATTGCCGCCTCAGCTATCACAAATGGAAGTCCAGTTGCTCCGTGCGAGGCTTTCTGCTCCCGGGCCTTTACGCCTGGAAGCAACTCTTTAACCCAAACCTCTGGGTTGGCTAAATGGAGAGCCTGCCATAACCGGGGTCGAAGGTGAACACGGACAGATCCTGATGGCACGTTTGTTAGCAACCCCATAAGGAAGAGTGCTGCTGGAGACCGTCACCCTCCTCTGCAGTGTGCTCTGAGCACAGTCTGCCTGTGACGAATGGTCTGGCCGCTATCTATCCTTGGTACAAGATTTGACAGAGTGAACAAGCAGGAACAGCAGACACCCAGAGACACAGTGAAGGTTACAGATAACCCCAAACAGCTCTTCCTGTCCGCGCTTCTTGAACAAATGGCTCAGAGTGTGTGGCAGGAAGAATCTTATGTTCTCACTGTAGACAGTTACACCTTGTTTTCTTTAATCTGACTCATTTTCTGTACCCTGAAGTTCCTTCCTCCATCGGTACAAAACGGAACTCAACTCTCCCAAAGGCTGAAGTAGAGCAGCCATCATTGGAGGGAAACAAAACTTTGAATTTAAATAATTAGAATCATTAAAGCACTCGTGGTTTTCTAACCTTCCTGATGTCCCTACTTACCTCTGAAATGCTGAAGGTGTTCTCTTCTTTTGTCCGGTGATACCTTCACTGACCACCTTCATGATCTGAGCAGCCCTTGGAGTAGTGGCTCTGCACTGTCCACTGGGCTCCTGAGCACGTGGAATGGGGCTGGTCCAAATGGAGCCATTTCGCAAGTGCACAGGATTTCCAAAGCTTGAGAGTGAAAAAGGCAAAGTAGCTTGGTAACCAGCTCATATCGGTGACATGTCGAAATTATACGACTTTGAATTTAAGTGACTTAATTTAAGTCACTCCACCGCTTTCTTTTTCCTCTTTGTAGCTACAAAAACATTTTTAATCATTGTATCAGTTGGACAGAGCCATTCTATTCCGTGTCCTTTCACCAAAAGTGTTAAGATCAAAAGAATGAAATGGTGCAGAATTACCACTGTGGCCCGGTTCTGTTAGGAATGCTCTCCCAAGACCAAAAGTGCTTTCCTTAGCGACTGTCTTCTCTGGCTCCATGGCTGGACACCATTAGCCCCTTGGTGGTCACAGGACACTAATTAGCCACACAGGGGTGCTCGAGGCTTCTTGGTGCACTTGGGCCACACAGCGTGGTGCTGGGCTCCTCTTGCCCCAGGCAGCTGGCTCAGCCTGGCTGAGCGTCCACACCACAGCCCTGGTCCTACAGCCCCCGTCACACCACAGTTCCATAGCTGGTTGCCAGCCCTGACCCTGTCTAGCCCTAGTCCCTCACCCCAGCTGCCTACTCTCCTGTGTACCCCAACTCCAGGGTCCAGAGGAAGAACTGCCACCCCTCCCTGAAAGCCCCCGGGACTGGCACCTCCCTGGCAGTCATAGTTGTCCTTGTCCCTGTCCCCCCTTGTCCTCCCACTCATGCCCTGTGCTCCCACAGGACCTCAGGTCCATTACACAAGGAGGCTGTGGCCAAGCGAACTCTGTGGTGGAGAGCACCCAGGCAGCAGCACTCGCCCAGCACGCAGGACGTGCCTGTGGAAGCAGGGTGGGATGGGATGGTGGCTCCTGGGGGCCTGGGAGTGGTCACCTATGACTACGTCGTAGTTCTGTGCAGACCCCTGGGCACCTGGCCCAGGGTGGGCACTCAGGGACTTTGGGCAGCATGAATGAGCTAGAGCAGTTTCCCCACCTCGGTCACAGTGATCGTGTTGACATGCAGATCCTGACCCCGTGCTCCTGGGCATCGGGTGCCATTCCACTTGTCTCCCAGGTCCCAGGTGGTGCTGAGGCTGCTGGTCTGGGGACTCCCGGATCACTGCTGGGACCAGCGTTGGGGCTTCCTCTGAGTTCATGGTTCAGAGGCCCCTGTTGACGTGGCGATCCAGGCCTCCCCTGATCCAGAGGGTCTCCTGCTGGGAGAACGGTCCATTAGGAAGAGCAGGGTTGGAGCAGGGCCTCCCCGCACGACCTCTCACCAGCAATTGTGCCCAGGAGTCTGCCTCAAGAACAATCCCCACCTTGTTTAGCAGCCGTAACGCTTCAAGGGCATTTGGATTTCCCAGGCCTTGACTTTCTCTGGAGCTTTACGTCTGCTCCTAACCCTCTCTTCCTATCATCTTCATTCTCTTTCTTCCTCATCTTCTTCCCTTTTCCAACAACTCTGAGCCCTGTCAGAGTGGAGCCTCTCCACCCGTCACACCCAAGACCGCAGCCTTGGAGTCCGGCTCATCATTGTACCCTTGAGCCCCACCGTGGGCTCTGAGTTCACTAAGGAAGTCCCCTGGCCAGATGGCTTTGTTCTTGTCCTCCAGCTTTCAGGCCCACCCCTCCCTTGTCACCCAAGGAATTCACCACTGCGCCACCTACCCATCTGCGTGTCTGTGTGGCAGTTACTCTGTGAGTCCCTGGTACCTCCTCAGTGATCACACAGCATTAGAGCTGACTTGAGTTTGAAGTGACTGTGGCCCATCCAAATGGAAAGGCACGGTAGGCAGCATGCAGCTCGGAGGGGGTCAGGAGCACAGGCTAGGGTTCAAGTTGTTAGCAGAGAGGCCACCGATTAGGCCTCTCTGTCTGAAGGGACAGAGGTGATGAGCATAAAAGCAAATGCCATTTCCAGGTGCCTTTGCCCCCTGACTTAACCCACCCGGTGGTCTCTTCCCTATGAGCCTCTGTGGCCTGCATGGGACTATTTCATAAGATATTTTTTTAAACATTTTACCTTTTATTAAGGCAAGTTTGTGAAAATAATGTAATACACCCAGATCTTTTCATGAACTTTCCACTGACAACATTTTTTAATGTAAGAAACATACCGAAAAACCTACATTTTATAAAAAGTCACCTCAATACCAGAAAATAGTTAATGAAAGATGTTGAACCCAGTTTACTTTTTAAAGGATGCTCTTTCCTTGACTCAAATTCCAAGTGTTATTCATCATCTTTAGAGCCAGTTTTGCTTAAAAGCTTCAAGACATCAACCCAATTCCAGCCTCGAGGGAGTTCCCCTTTATGATCTGTTTTGTCTGCCAGTTTACGTTTCTGGGCTTTAGAAAGTTGTCCTTTTTTGTCATTTTTCTTATTTGATGGAGCTGTATTAGGAGTTTCAACAGAGATGATATTGCTTTTAGACATTGTAGAATCAGTGGGACAATGATTCTCCATGAACTGCTCTTTATTGTCTTTGGCATATTCAAACAATGTATAGGTCATAGCAGTTCCAAGATTCACTTCCACAGCTTCCTGTAACTTCCTATAACTCTGCTTTACAGCTGATGATATGGTGTTGTTAAAAAAAAAAAAAAGCGTTCATAGATATAATTGGAGGTGTTTGGGGATATGTTTCTGTCCAGGAAATCTCTATTAAGAAGGCTTTGGGATCACCATTTTCACCTATATATAATATATTCACTAAGTACTTTTTGTTCCATTTACTTTATTTCTCCCTTTTTATCATAGAATCAACTTCCACTCTCCCAACATGTGTGATATTTTTCCTTTGTTTTTTGTTGAACAGTTTGAAAGCAAAGTATCCTAAGAACATTCTCTTTAATAACCACAGGACCATTATCACACCCTATATTGAAATGAAACTGGACTTAATTCCCAGAAACTTTCATCTCGTTCATAAATAGAACAGAATGCTTCTAGTTCCATCTCCTGGTCCTCGTCCAGGAGGACAGCGTTCACGACAACTAAGAAAAAGCAAGGGCAGTGGCCCGAGGCCAGGGCATTCCCCTTCGGTGCAGGGTGGGGAGTAAGCTCCTCTGAGCCGTAAACCGAGTTCAGGCGCACACTCAGCGGTCTACAGTATCCAGCAGGACTAGGTGGGCAGTGGGCGGAAGGCCGTGGCAGGTGGGGTGCTCAGGCATCTAGTAGGAGGCTGCAGGGCGGCAACGGCAGAGGCTCTGCAAGATATATTTTTTGATTGATTTTTTTTTATCATTGATGAATTTGGAAAGAAAAAGAAACTCCAAAGACAAAAGCCTCCAAAACGTGCTAGCAAGGCTCCCCAACATGGTTGAGTTGGCCCTGCCCCAGGGTGCCAAGGGCCCGGCCCAGGTGTTCTGGGGAAGCATTTGGTCTCCCCTGCTGTGCTAAAGAGCATAAGGATGCCCACAGGCGCGTGGGACAAATTGGGCTCAAATTGCCATATGGCTTGGATTTCACATTTTCCAGGGCATAGTCTAATCATTTCTACAGAGTCTAATGCCTTGCTGCAGATTGTAAATGATAAGGTCACATGGATTAGAGACCAGTTAAAAATTACAGAAGACATATGCTATGCATTTTACTAATGAATGGCCATATTCAAACATGTTCACTAATTAATGGCAATATTTGAATGGGTCCACTAATGAATGGCAATATTTGAACGTAGTGTTGAATTTGATACCCTGTGACCAGAGCTCCGTTTCTAGAAGGAGCCAAATGCTCCATAAGGTCTGGGAAATGCGGATTTGAAAGAAAAATTGGGCAGGCCTTCCAAGATGTTAAAGGAATTCTCAGAGACTGAAATCTGCCCACCAACAAGTTTGTTTAGATGACATTGACAGTGCGAATATTATCGTCAAATCCTCCAAGAGGCTCAGCTGCTACCAAATCCTACTTCAGCCTTTGGAAACAAGGGAAACCATGAATCCAGAGGGATAGCAGGGAACTCAGAAGAAGGGCATCATCACCATAGTAAGTTGTTCTTAAAAGTGGTAAAAAAGAAGTAAGAAAGGAAGCGGGGAGTTAGGGACAGAGTCACTGCCATAAATTGTACCTGGCCCAGCTTCCTGTGTCCCCTGGAGGGCTGCTGTTAGGACACCTAGTAGCCCTTGCTGAGGGTTGGTTCTGTCCTGTAAGGCCCCGGACACAGCACAGGGGGGAACCTGAGGATCCCCGTCCTCTGTTTTCCACTGGGACCTCCAGTGTGTTGGCTTCCTGTGATGAAATCTACACAAAGTCCTTTCCCAGCAAACAGGCCAAACTCAGGCCAGGATGATCATGCAGACAACTGACCCCACACAGCAGGAACTGGGAAGGGACCGAATGGTGCTGACACAAGCTACCTTGACCCTGGTTCAGCCACATGGATTAGACTTAGAAGTGGTCCAGAGTTACTTCCTTGGCTGGGAGTATGTCTCTGTGGTTATATAACACATATTAGAAGCGCTTAGCAGGCTGGGGATGTGGATCAATGGTAAACACTTGCCTGGCAAGTGTGAGGCCCTGCATTCAAACCCAAGCACACACAAAGAAAAGTCTTATGTTTGATGCGATATTCTTTTAATGTGGCTTGATAAACGCAGTGATCAGTAACGCACGAGTTAGGATGGGGAGAGGAAGAGGAACCTCACAAACTTCAAATACCTGCCGTGGAGTTCCCAAACACAACCCGAATGTGACGTGCATGTACCCTTTGACCCAGCCACTTTGCTTCTGGGAATGATCCCATGGTTTTCCTTTCACATATCTATCACCTGCTGCTGTGAGGAAGTCCAGCACCATGGCCGCTCCCAGGGACCCAACCAGCGGTCTGTGAGATACACTCAGCGAAAATCCAAAAACGTTAGCACAATGCAACATACAATATTTTACATACCACTTTTGTTTAAAAACAACATACTTATGCATGTACGTGCTTGCTCGAAGGCATCAGATATTTATGAAACAATGCACACATGAACAGGTGACCGTGGTCATCTCTGTGAAGCCTTGCTGCTGACCAAGGAAGGAGACTTATTTTCCACCTGCACCTTTCGAAAGTGTGTTTATGTACATGTGTCATCCATTCAAAAATGACATAATCTGTTTTTTAAAACATGTGACCATGCAAATTATATTTCAATAAAACTATTAAAGAAAATGAAAAACAAATGGCCAATAAACATCTGTCAGTTTGAAAAAAAAAAAAACTATCTTACAGTAGGAAGTAAATTTCAATGTCCTGGTCCATAACTATTAATTGAATAGCTCAGTTCCCATCCCCAGGAGCGCCGCCCCCCACACCTCTGTCCACAGCATCTGTGAAGCGTAGCCTCAGCTGCTAGAAGCAGCAGAGTGGAAGTGGTGTCTTCATTGTGACCAGGTTCTGAGGCAGATACTGGTAACATTTCCACTCTATCGTGCAGCAAGCACGCAAGTTAAGACTGAAACAACAGGTGTGTGCGTCCTTGTCCTCGATGAAATAGAGGATGTGTTGGCAAAGGGTATTTTCAGAGTTCCTTTAAGAGCCCTCTTGAGTAGAAATTAAACCAAGGAAAGTATGGGACATTTCAAGGCAGCAGACCTAAAACAAATGTAACTTTGGGGACACTACCTAGATGTCACCATATTTTATGGGAAACTAGGTAGCATTGTAAAAAACATCCTTGGTCCATTAGTATAGGATTTGGGAAATACAGAGGAATTTGAGCACTCAGCTATATCCAGCTGCCTTAGAATCATTTATTTAGCCATTTGGAGGTTGCACATAAAAGATCGCCTTGGTCTGTTTGCATTGGAGCTTGGCACAGTTTAAGATGGCCTTCCACCACCGGATTCTGAGATTTTAAGACATTGTGTGCTTGAAAGGAAATAATTTCACTTTCTTCTTTTCAAAATCATGTCTTAGCACATTGTTATCTGACACCATTCCCGCTCTGTGACATTGTCTTGTCAGTACGAGTTTTGCATACATCAGCGGCTGGTCACCCCACCGGGACCCCTACTCTTTTGATACGTTATTTTTAACACAGAGAGACTGAACTTACATATCTCTGCCGCCACCTTCAGGAAAGTCATGTACCGAAAAGAATCCTATTTCTTCTGTCCCCAAAGAAGTACAAATGTGGGCTTCATGCTTTTGATGTTTCCCTTGACTATAGTAAGGGGTCCTAAGATGGTATTTGATTCTCCTGTTCTTTTGACACAGAACTTCAAGAGCTGTGGAAGAAAAATAAATGGCACATAATAGAACGCTTTCCTAACAGATGCAGGCATGACAGAAAACAGGCACAAAGAAATTTTGGCTTTCATATAGAGATCATTCAACTGTAAGGATCAAAATCTTATTTTATTTTTTTTTTTAATATTTATTTTTTAGTTTTTGGCAGACACAATATCTTTCTTTATATGTGGTGCTGAGGATCGAACCCGGGCCGCACGCATGCTAGGCGAGCGCGCTACCGCTTGAGCCACATCCCCAGCCCTCAAAATCTTATTTTAAAGGGTCATTACTTGTGGGTACCAACCTGCTCTTAATGTTATTGATCAGCAGTCCCTTGAACATCCTGATAGAAGTGGAAACTGTTCCTCTGCTTCTTTTTCACGCTTCCAAAAAGAAAATATACACATTCCTTTTCGGATGTGCCTATGATGGGCATTCGAGAAGTCAGACTCAAACATCAATCAAATAGACGTCTGCACTGACGTGGTACAGAAGGAGTGACGCGGCGGACAATTCCGACACTTCCTTGGTAGTGGGGATTGTGTAAGGGATTGACAGTGACATACCCCTGTGTTCATGCGTGTGGGCAGAGGGAGGCAGGCCAGCATCCCTCTCCATAAGCAGAGTCTCGCCCGGTGGGAGTTGACAGTGGTGTCCTAGCTTCACCTGAGTCTTCCACATAATGATCATTATTACCAGGATGCTAGGAATTCCTCTAATCAACAAGGTGCTTTCTGTCACTTACATTTCCATAGAACCGTGTTGCATCATAACCCTACGAGAAAACTACTGTTGTTTACCATCTCCCAGAAACTGTGCTAAATATCCAACATAAAGGTTGGCCTTCTTTCCAGATGCAAAATCCTAGGATCACAGGATAATAAAGAGGGCCTCTGTAGCCAGGTCTCTCTGACTTCAGAGGTTCTGTTTTTAAATACTAACCTATATCTGGTTTTTAACATAAACATCTACTGTGTTATTTCATGAATTATAATATGCTGTCCTTTCACATGTCACCCAGGTCAAATTTTTTTCTCATCCTAAAGATAAATGCGATTATGTAGCCCATAAGGACGGGCATACCTTCTGGAAACTGTGTCACTGGATAATTTTGCACTGTGGGAGCACCCTAGAGTGTGCTTGCTGATACCAACCTGAACGCACAGCCCATCACACACCCAGATGATGAGGCAGAGTCTGTCGCCCCTGCACTGCAAACCCAGGTGGCCTGCTCCCGTACTGCATGCTGCAGGCGATGGGCACACCATGCCAAGCATTCGTGGATCTAAATGTACAAAAATGACACAGTATAACTGCAGTATAAAGGGTAAAGTGGCACAGCTGTATAGGACTGGAAGCTGCTGTGGCAGTCAGCGCGTGAGCA